CTGCTGAACTAATCCAGTTCATTCATAAAAATTGGACAACGAAAGACTACTACTTATGCAATTGAGTTGGGTTGGCTGTTGAATTTGAATTTTACAAGTCTAATCCAATGTGTTTTTATTAAAAAATAACTTTTATATATTATATATGTAATGTTTTCAATCTTTAGAATATAAATTGAACAAATTTAGAACCAACAAATTCAACACTATTTCGTCATTTTCTCACTTAAATCATAAGTTCTTAATGTGTGTCTCGCCCTCCATCGTGTACACAGGTCATCGGCCATCATCGAGCCCACCCACATCATCGAACTTGAATCCTTAAAGTCTTCTTCAGGTCTCCAGTCTCATTCTCCTCGCGATGCCGATCTTTGGAAGTTTGAATTCTTTTAAGAGACAGTGTCTTTTTTTTTTTTTGAAGAAAAGGAATTATAATATTTTAATGAAAGTAAAATCGCCATGTTCCTGAGTGGAAGTGGTAAGGTTCTAAGGATATGAGTGAATGTGGTTTGGGTAAGTTAGTTATAAATGTGGTTTTAGGTCTACTTTTTCTTATTCATTTATGCATTTATATGAGTTGTTTAAAATGGATTGGAAAATAAAGAAACAATTTGGTTAAAAAGGATTTTTTGGACAGGGCTAAGATGGAAAATTGTGGATATGATAACGTTTCAAATGACATTGGAAACCCATATAACCCCTTGACAACGTCAATTCAATATGTTGGAGAGCTTGCCTCCCTTATTCTGCATCCACAATGTGTCTGATCATCTATTACATGTGAAACCCAAGCATTGATATTGTACGACATTGTTACTATTTTGCAATTGCTTGAGAATCAGCTGACTTTTCATCATTAAGGAACTTTTCGACCTATAAAAGATTGCAGCCTATTTTGACGACGGTGAGAAACCTTCGATCATTAAGAGGACGTTTGATTCATATATTTAAAATTATGATTCAGAATTATTTTCAATTTATGTATATTTTTTGTGAGAGAAAACACTGTAACGAGTCATGTACTATGATCTGAATCATGATACGGATCTTTATTCTAAACACACCCTGAGTTTTCTGTAATTCTCCCTTATGGACGTCGCATGAATCGTTATTTTAATTTATTAACTTTAATGGATTCTGTAGAAGCGCATATTAAATTCAAACATACACCACATGACTTTTCCATACATTTTTCACATTGCTCAAGTAGTTGGAGGAAATAAAATAAAATTTGGACCAAATATGTTATTCTACGATGGAGCATATTGTTGATTTACTGAGTCAAATATATGTTTCATTGAAGCCAAAGGCTAGGAAGCTCGAAGATCTAAGAACACCAAGCATAGCTAAGCTACAATGTGCTAGAGTTGAGTTATTAGTAGGTCAAGCAAAAACTTATTTGACATTGTTTTCTTTGAAGGTATTTTAAAAATTTGGAAGTTGAGAATAGGTGATGTGGTAGAACTTACATTAAGAACTTCATTTGCCTATGGAAATGAGTACTTGAATGATTATGACCTCGTTCGTTTTACAGATTCGAATTGAGATGTAGTATTTTTTTAGAGCTTTTACTGTAGTAAAAAAAGTTAAATATAATATTTTTAAAAAAATTTTAACTGTAAAAATTTAAAACTAAAAACTCGAATAAATAAAAATGAACGAGACCGTGTTTTGATTATGAATCATCTTATTAATACTACTAGGGATGTGGATTTCCTTTTAAAATGTGGAATTATTAAGAATAAGTTCGGAGACAACAACGAGGTGACTACTTTCACAGAAAAAACTTGCAGATGAGGTTATTGTTTCCTCTTATTAAATTATGTTGTGTAGATGCTTGTGAAGAGCAAATGGACCTTTAATTGCCATTACTAGTGAATATCATATTCCCTAAACAAACATTACGAATGTGAAGTCCACTTAGAAATATATTTTAAGGATAAACTTACGTAATATGCCATCAAAATTTATATTTACATAATCTTTCTTTATTTTTTTTTGGAAAAAAAAATATTATGGTAGAATATTTCTATTAGAGTACTTTCTGAAATTATCCGACCATTTTTATAGATAAAAAAATAATCATTTTATGGTGAATAGAGTGATACAAATGTTAAGTTTATATTATTGGGTTACATAAATGATATCTTTTGAGTGTTATTCTCATTTTTTTATATTGAGATTTTTTTTTGTAATCCAATCATTTCAAATGTGAGGGATAAAGTCCATCTTTATTATCATCTTAGCTGGACGGTCAGGATGGATGATAACTTTTTGATAGGCATAGGATGGATGATGCCCGATAAATATATCTTTATGCAAAAGAGGAAAACGCAGGCCTCGTTCACTTCGATTCGAGTTTTTAATTCAAGCTGAGATGTGATATTTTTTTAGAGCTTTTCACTGTAGTAGAAAAAGTTAAATGTAACATTTTTTAAGAATTTTTTTACTGTAGAAACCTAAAACTGAAAATTTAAATCGGTGAAATGAACGAGACCGTAGTGTATACTGTAATATATTTTAAATAATAAAACTCTCTCTCTCTCTCTCTTTTTTTTTTGTTGCCTTTTTATACTACATATTTTTTTGGATCTTAATTGGGCTCCACTGAATTGTTGGTCCCTTTTTGTTATTGGGCTCCATGAATGATTTTGGTGGTTGTTGACTTGCTGAGAAACTAGTGTGGATATTGAAATTTTCAAACTTCAAAGTAGTGGGACCAAGTTTATATGGAAATCCATATGGGTACCCAATATAACAATATTTGAAGAATTCATGGGTGTTTCTATTTTCTATTTTCTATTTTCTTTTCTTGATGGGAAAAATCACGGGTGTTTCAAGGTTTACCTGATTTTTTTTTCCATAGATATTTGCTTGAGGAGGTTTTATGTCCCTAATAGGTTTCTTTCATTCTCTTCGTTTTGAAGGATTTTGACATCTTGTGGTTGAGTTATCAAATGTATTTAGATATTATTAACGGTCTTTTATATTTCTGTTTTTGATCCGTAACATATGTTGCTTAGAGATCTATCATATTTTTTCTTTTTCTTCTTCAAAAAAACTTAGAGATCTATAATAGAATAGTTAACTATTCAAAATTTTCAAATTATATAAGAAAATTCAACAATATGAAAAGAAGCATTCTTAATGCTATTTGAAATGCTAAATTTAATGCCAATTGTATATTTAACATAAAAAACTATAATATGGTGCGTTATATTTTCATTTTTACCTCAGTGTATAATGTTATTTAAAATGTTAAATCTACTTTATTCTATAATTATTAAGTTTTGGAAGTTGTAAAAGTAAACTTTTATTTTTAAAATAATTAAAAAATGTAAAAGTTGCATTGATAACATGAAAAAAGTAAACATTTTAACTAATAGTAATTAAATGTTAAATTTCTCATATGTTATACTTGATGGGAAGTTTGCCACAAAATATAACATATGAGAAATCTAACACAACAAATAGCATTGCATTGAATAATTTTTTTGCACTCAAATGTTAAACTTGCAATTGGAATATTAATTATAGCATTATATTGGAGATGCTTTTATATGTTTTGAAAGAGCAAAAAAGACAATGATAAGTGGAAATTTTCACTAAAGAAATTATTCCAACCCATAATTAGAGATAAAAACTATCTCTCATGCAATATTATAATTAATGTGAATAAAAAAGTTGCTATTTAAGTGTAAAAATCACTATTCAATATAGTGTTATTCGTTGTACTTAATTTGCCATATATTATTACTTGTAACAAATTTGTCACTAAGTACTCCATATGAGTAACAAACCTGACAAACAAGTATAACATATGATAAATTTGACATTTAGTTGCTATTGGTTGATATGATTACATTTTCACTTCATCATTCCTGAATTTTCAAATTATTTATTATTAAAAATTTACTTTAAAATAACATTATACATCGTAGCATAAATAGATATAACATACCAAATATACTATTATAAGAGCTTATTAGTTTCTTTTTTGCGTACATGTCACTTTCATGTTGTGAGATTTTCTCAATCTATTATTATTCCAAAAACAACTCATAATCTAAATCAATCTACTGTATCAATTTAAATTGTACGAATTAAATGGATTCACGAATTTTGTGAATACCTTAAGGAAAGTAAGACTATCTCTTTTTTTTTTTTTTTTTTCCTTCTCCCATTTTGATTTTCTTTCTCATTTGTCTCGTGAGTGATTAGAAGCTTTCCAATACCAAAAGAAAAATGGAGAACAAGTTTGGTATGAAAGATGACTATCACTCCCGTAATGTGTGCTAGTGGCGGTATTGTTAATGTCAATGGTGGAGCCTTTTCATAAAAAGAATCTTTAAAAAACTCTAACTAAACGTCAAAATACTTTTTCTGTTGATAACTAAACGTCAAATATTGGATCCAATCAAATTGCAATTATAATAAGGGAGATAAGTCACAAGGGTACAAGTGTTTCCGTTTTCTCCTCCACTCTGACCCCCCAAAAACCTTCCAATTTGTCCAAAATCCACGCGCCGCTTGTGACTTTGCGAGTA